AAGGAGGGGTCGCTATGAGTCGGATCAGACTCTACAGCAGTGGGTTTGGTTTTGGTTTTGATAACTATATTTCAATATATTAGTTTTCTCTAATCTTATGTATTTAAAAAAATGTATTATTCTCTAGACTTCACTTGTCAAGTGATCTGTGGTACAAAAAAAGAACTCCTTTTGTAGACTAAGAGAAAATGGTAGGTTAAGTGGTGTTAATTCCATTTCATATACGAAGGAGCAAGAGAGAGATACATGGTCTTACTCCCAGGTATTAACTTGATTAAGGATAAAAACTTCCTATGGTTTCAGTTCTTTATTTGGTCAATGCATAAATAAAAGTAAAGAAGGTAAAGTAACTAAAATTATAAGAGTTCTGCATATTATTATAGTATATTTTGTACCTTTTTAAGTTTTCAGTTTATGTCTAGTATTAATAAGTATTATATTTTCAAGTAACGACGATGAGTAAAATGTCTAAGTTACTTTATTTTTGATATTTTTATTTTCTTTTTTGATCCTATAAAATTCCAAAAGAAAGGCAACTATAATAAATGAAATGAACGTTTTGTAATTGGGAATGCTAAACACTGATAATGACAATAAATTGCTGCCATTTATTGAGCCCTTGCCAGATGCCAAGTACCTACCTCATCTAAGTGTTTTACCTATACTAACGCATTTAATCTGCACACAGTCCTCTGAGGTATCTTCACTCTACATATGAGCACTCTGAGATGAGGTACATTCATCTAAATAGCTTGCCAGCATGCCACCTGAAGTTAGTAGTGGTTTTGTAGATACAGAATTCATTCTTTTTTTAAAATTTAGATTAATAGGCAGAAATGAAAGGTAATAAAAATTTTGTCAAGTAGCAGAAACTCAAGTTTGGTAAGACTATTACAGCTTTTGAGATTGTTGCCTCCTCCGTTTTTTCTTGCCCAGCAAACATTTATTGATCATTTATATGTGCTAAGTAGTCGACCGTGGTAAGTTTGGTTGGTTTTTTTTAGGTAGTGTGCATGGTGAACTGGGAGGCCCATGTCCTGAACCCTCTGCTCACTATATACTCTCCCACAGTTCTATCATCCACTCTCTTGCCTTTAATTACATCTGTCTACTGGTAAGTGCTAACTCCAGGCCAGAGCTGTCTTTTGAGCTCCAGGTTTGAATCTCCAACTGCTGCCCACATCTTTCCTTGCCTAGCATGCATCTCAAACTCAACATGTCCAGAACTTCTTATCGATCCCTCTCTAAGCCCTTCTTCACTCACTCAGTAAGGACTTTCATTTATTTTACTTTCTTATAACTCTGATCACCAGCCACTCTGAGGAAGGAAGGCAGGGCCATCTGCTTCTGTAAAGAGGCAAAAACTGCCTCAGAAACCCAACTCATTCACTGTGAGTCAGAATCAACTTGATGGTCCTGGGTTTGGTTTAGTTTTTATATCTCTGAAATACATCCACTTTTCTCCATATTGCTACTGCCCTTAGGTCCATCTTTCATTTAGACTCCTTTCATAGCTGCCTAACTGGCTTCCCTCCAGTGTTACTACTTTCCAAGTCATTTTTTACATGAACAGTGTAACTAATTTCCAAGTCATTCTTTACATGATCATCAAGAGATACAAGTATGATAACCTATCAAGTAATTTTCTTCCTTAAAATCCTTAAGAATCTTCTTTTACCTTTGGAGTGAAGGCTTCTATAACTTGTACAACACATGGCTGAATTTTACAAAGAAAATATTAAGTGAAAAAAGCAAGTCACAAAAGGCTGCAGAGGATGTGGGGAAATTGGAACCTTTATTCATTGCTGGTGGGAATGCAAAATGGTATAGCTGTTGTGGGAAACAGTATGTTGGTTCCTTAAAAAACTGAAATTATAACAACCACTTAACACAGTAATTCTAGTCCTAATATATATCCAGAAGACTCAAAAGCAGAGATTCAGAGAGATTTGTACACCGGTGTTCATTGCAGCACTGTTGACAATAGCCAAAAGGTGAAAACTACCTAATGCCCATCGAGGAATCAATGGATAAACAACATATGGTGCCTGCATACAGTGGAATATTATTCAGCCAGTAGGAGAAATGAAGTCTTCATATATACTATAATATGGCTGGAGCTTGAAGGCATTATGCTGAAATAATCACAAAAGGACAAATACTCTATGGCTTTACTTATATGAAAAGACAAATGTATAGAGACTAAAATTCATTAGTTATTATCAGAGGCAATAGGGAAAGGGAGAAAAGGAGGTTATTACTTACAGCCTACTGAGTTTTGGTTTATGGTGATAGCAAAATTACATTAAGGGTAGGGTTGCACAGTCAATGTAATTGCTGTCAATAAATTGTATATCTGTAAAAAGTTGAATTGGCAAAAGTTGTGTGATAAGAACATTTATAAAAGGGCAAAAAAAAAAAAAAAAAACCCAACTGCTGAGGCTGCTTACATACAACCAAACACCTCATGGGATTTGATTCCTTGGTTTAGAGGTTTAGGGTCATGGCTTCGTGAGACATCACAGTTAATTGCCTTGATACTGTGTTTGGTGCTTTTGTTCTACCTCTTCTTTTGTTGCTTACTACCTGGGGTCTTTAAAACTTGCAAGCAATTATCCAAGGGACAACAGTTGTTCTCAATTAGTCTCTAGCAATTGAGGAGCAACAGTCAGGACTAGCAGGAGGTAATGGAATGTGTCTGCCAATTGCCTCCATGAGACAGGAAGAACTTGTCTACCACTACTGAACATTTTGACCAAAGATTCTATGGAAGAATGCTAATCAAAAGGGGAAAGATACAGAACAGAAATTCAAGTTGCATGGAATCCAGATATTCTGGAGTCAGAGGCTGGATGAACCACAAGATAGTCTTTAAACCAAAAGTATCCCCAGAAGTCTTCTTAAAATCAAACAGTGGTTTAGCTTAACTAGTAAAGAATGTCTGCCATGACCATTGTGCTCTTTTAAGATCTATCTGTATGGAATCAAATTGACAACTGCAACTTTTAAGATAAACTTAGGAAGCAGTGAGTTTATGTTAATGGACGAGAAACAGTTCAGAAAAGGACGGTGAGAATGGTTGCACAACTCGAAAAATTTAATCAGTGCCATTGAATGGTACATGTAGAAACTGTTGAATTGGTGTGTGTTCTGCTGTGTATATTCTCAACAACAACAAAAAAATAAAATATTTTTAAAAACTACAAGCAGTATAACATTTTTTTTAAAACTCACAACCACAACTAATTTTGCTTTTAGAATATATGACTATAGCATAGAACTAAATAAACACCAGGAAAGTTTATTTATCCTGTGGGAAGAAAGAGAGAGGGTAGGAAAGAAGCACAAGTGCAGTAAAGGTATTGTTAGTGTTCTAATTCGAATCCTTAGATTAGGGTAGGTTTGACGTATGTCTTTTTTTGTTTGTTTTTTCGGTAATACTTCATAACTGACATATTGCATATAGTTTCTTGAGTATGCCAAAAATAAATTCTAAAATTAATATTAAAAAAATGATGAGGCAAAACTAATGGAGAAGGCCTTTTCTTAGTATATCAATCCTGGAAGAAGGCAAATACAAGGACAGACCAAGAGTGCCAAGTGTCAACGTGTACACATAAACACTGCATCCATTATGACAGTGGCTGGGGAAGTTTTGGTATGAAGCAGGCCTTTCCTTTGGATAGAAAGAAGCAAAATCATAAACAACATTTTTTCATAAAGTAGCAGTTGCCATTTCAGAAAATAAAACACAATGGCATATAAATTTTATGTAAGGCAGTTAGTTAGCTTGGATGGTCTTTTCTTCATGTTTCTGAAAGGCAAGTGGAACCAACAGGAAAAAGAGAAAGTGTATCCCAGAACTCTAGGGAATCAACAATCAAATATTATTCACATCATAGTTGGAGGATGTTTCAAAAATTTTCATTGAGTGTTTCTTTTTCAAAAACTGAAAGGAAAGAATACTTTCATAGCTCATACTTTTGCCAAGAAAGTAACTTCAGAAGTTTGTAAGGCTGGCTGCACTTTAAAATCATCTGGGAAACTTTGAAAACACATAGATCTAGTAATTAATTGTTACTGTGTTTCACACACATGTCAGTGTACAATGGATTGAAAATTTAAAAAAGACATCCATCATAATGTTTGAGAAGCACTGCCTAGTTCTTTCATTTTCAGTGCTGTATAATAAACTGCTTGATTGCTGGAATTAATTTATTGCTGTATAATAAATAGTTTGCCACTATTTCTTTATTCTTTTAATGAACGTGTGAATTATTTTCAAACTTTGGTTATGAACGATGTTGCTGTGGACTTGCCACCGATTTCTGGTGATCCATTTGTCCATCTTCATTTTAGCTAATGTACAGAGTATGTGCATTTTTAACTTAGATAATACCATAATGTTTCCCAAACTGTTGTATGTTTTAAACCCCCACCATTGCTGTATTATAGTTCCTGCTGATTTTCTATTAATGTTTGACTCCCACCCTAAAGCACATTGCTGTTATTTCACATGGATCCTGAGGATTTGGGAGAGAAGTCTTAATGAGTGAAAGCTCTACTTATTACAAGTTTTCAGAATTCAATCTCAAATGTATATAACTTTTCCTGGGATATTTCCCTCATTTTGATAGGAAGGAAACAAGATATGATAGAAAAAGCATAAGACTGAATCCTACTGTGATAAAACTGCCTACTGGTTTCATTGCTTTCGCAAGTTAACCCTGTGAGCTGAGTGTGTAAAATGGGGAGAGTATCTGTCTTTCATGTAGTTGGTAGGCTTGTGAACGATACACCTCACTCATTAGAAAATGGTTTAAATACAAAGATGAAGATTTATTTGACCATCTAACCAAAGAATGACCATCTGACCAAAGAATGAACATTTTAATTTTTTTGGTGCATGCATGGTAAAATAATGTTCTCAAAAATGTCATTTTGTCTTAAGAGACTGCTTGATTGCTGGAATTAATAGGTATCTATTTTTATTTGACCAGGAATTACTCTTAATTCTAAGGAGAAACTGGAAGCACAATGGGAGATGACAGTGAGTGGATGAAACTGCCGGTTGATCAGAAATGTGAACATAAGGTGAGACTTCTCAAACTAATATTTCAGAGTCATTGTCTTGGCTTGTCAATGGGGTTTTCTAGCTCAATTAAAAAAAAAAAAAAATTAATCTCTGGAAAGAGTTCAAAGAAAGAAATACATGAATGAAGTGAAAAGCAGATTGAATATATAAAAATGGTTTTATAAGGTGTTTTTTGTACTTTATAAAGTGTTTACTAACTGGCTAGTTTTGTTATGTCCTTATTTATATATTTATGCATACATACATACATATATATACACTAATACTCAGAGTAGCTAAGAACTTAGTAATAGTTCATTGTATAAAAAACTTTTATTTGGAGATGTGGTCTGTATTCAGCCATAGAACTCCAGCATTTTTTAGGTTCTCTGATCTATATACACTGTATTCTAATATCTACCCTCAGAAGCTATGAATCTTTTTATTCTGGTTCATTTTATTTTACGCTTACAAGAAACACTTGATTTTATTTATATATACACACATATATTATCATTATTTCCTTTTAACCTGTTTCGTCCAGTTTGTCCCACTCATAGTGAACCAATAGGACAGAGTAACTGTGCCATAGGGTTTCCAAGGCTGTAATCTTTATAGGAGCAGACTGCCACATTTTCTTCTGTTGGTGGGTTCGAACTGCTGACTTTTTGATTGGCAGCTGAACATTTCAACCACTGTGCAACCAGGGCCCCTTTATCATTATTTAGTGGGTATTTTTTCTAATTCTTCTGCTGTTCCCCAGCTATACCTCTAGTTTCTTCCCTATTTAATCATTCTTAAAACAAGAAACATTTACCATTCAGTAGATTTTAAAACCTCATTCCCTCTTTTTTTTTTTTTTTTTAAT